TCAAATTCATTCAATTCATCAAAATCAATGTCATCAAAATCAATTAATCAATAGTATATTGAAATTCATAAAATTATAAAGTCATAAACAATTACAAATTCAACGAAAATATAAACTAATTAATTATAAACAACAGAAAAACTAACTTCCATTGATGATTTCATGAGGAATAGCAACCACCTCCATTATTAAGTAAAGAACAGAGGAGAGAGAAAATCTTGATTAAAAGAGAAGAAGAGGAGAGAGAAAATATCAAATGGAATAAAAGAAAAAGGAGAGAGAAAATTGCAACAAAAAAGGAATCAATCCATATACAAAATAAATGACATAAGAAAAGGGGGATATTCAGTGAAGTTCTAGCTGGAAGAAGGGAAAGTTGAAGGAGTAAATAGCAAATTGTGTTTCATTAATAAAGACCTGCGTTTTGGCTTGTTGCAGCCATCTTGGCTGAGTTAGAATGCAGCCAAGAATTTGTATAACCAATGTGTAAGGTCTTTTCTCAAATGTGTGAGATCTTTGGTTTAAAGTCCAATAAGTCTCCTTAGATGAACCTTTTTTTTTTTTTTTTTGAAACATCCTTAGATGAACCTTACTCTTTGATTTTTTTTTTCCCTTCAAATTTTGTTTGTAAAATAAAACTTACACTTTATTTAAATAGCATGATAGAATAGAAAAGAAGAGTGAAGTTAAAAGATATGGAAGGAGAAATGGAGCTCCATTTCTCCTTCAAAACTCTTATCTGGACAAGTGTTTTTTTTTTTTTTTTTTTTTTTTTTTTTTTTTTGACAAACTGAACAAGGGAATTTGTTTCCCTTATTTTCCATTTCCCAAAAACCTCCAATCCTATTTTTTATCCCAAACAAGAGTTTAGTATTTTGTTGAGCCAAAGCCATGAGTCAATAAGTGAAGAAGTAACTAGACAACATACATAATTTTTGGCCCTTTTGTGTTTAAAAGCAAAAAAGGGTCTATGTAATTTATAAGATAAGATATATGGAATTTTTATTATTTTATTTTCACTATGTATCTATTACAAGATAAACAACTACTCTGTGTCAAAAAAAAAAAAAAAAAAAATACTACTCCATAATACATTCCTTGACTAACAGATAAATGACCCTAAGCCATTACACTCTCCATTGTTATATACATCCACGATGCATGGTGAGATTGATATAAATTTTATTACAACTTGAGTTGGTTTTTAGAGAGAAAGGCTGAGCCCTTCTCTCTAAAAACCACCTCCTTTGCTTTTCTTCTTTGTTCTTTCTTTTTTGGTTTTCTCTTTTAGATTCTCTTCTCCTAGTCTTTGATCTCCCTCTTGTGTTTTCTCCTCTTCTCCTATGATCTCTCTTTCTGGGTTTCTTTTTTTCTTGATTTAAAGCATGTATTCCTTACTTTTTTGCCGTCGTCGCCACACAAGCTCCGCCGATGTCGGCTTCTGCTGCGAAGCAGCCCCTTCATCTTATTCACTCTTTAGTTTAAGGGATGATTACCGAAGAGTTGGAAATTTAACAAGATTTTTCAGATTTTGTTTTTTATATCATGCATGTTGGCTTTGACCTTTGATCGTATGGGCTTTTCCTTTGATTTCGTTTTCATGCTTCAACCCACTCCAATTTGTGGTTGGTTGGAAATCTAGGGTTCAAATTGGTGGAATTCGAAAAATCATAGTTCCACTAACTCTGCCGCTTTTACCACTACAGGCGGATCTTCTATAGGGGTCATCTGGGGTCTGACCCCTGATAAAAGCCCAAAAAATTTACATTTGATCAGTAAATATATCATTCCATAGTAAGAAGTTACTGTAAAAAGAATATGCTAGCCACTGCCAGTGCCTAGATGTGTTAGCGGGCCACATCTCTTCTAACTTTTTTTTCTTTTTTCCTTTCATCCGATTTTTTGTAATTTCAAAGTTAAAATCAAGGCCCACATCATCAATATTTTGTTGTTAAACTTCATGAGAAATTTGCTTTATTACTTGACATTGTTATGATAAATTTGTAATACGGAGTACTACGTAACTTTTTCTATTGAGCAATAATATTACGTTGGTTTGTATGTAATTATTTTTCCCCCTCTTATAGAGATCAGGTTCAGCTTATGTGGTAAAGTTTCATAGACTATCTCAGTGTATCAAATTTTTTTTTTTTTTTCACAAATTATGTAACATACCAGAATATCATAGATTATTTAGTTAGAAATAATAAATTGTACTGTAACAACTCTGATAACTAAAAGACATTATAAGTATAAGTTTACAACGTATGTATAAGATTTTAATTTTTCGGCCCCCCAAATAAAATTCTTCAAGACCCGCCACTGTCACTGCCCTCACCATCATCACCGTCACCATCGACTTTGCGACTCGACCTCCATTTGATTGTCCGCAAACCTCCTTGGGACATAGTGTTTTAAAGCAATTATTTTACTTTAGTTTAGCTTCCAATGACAACTTTTTGTATAGCTTTCTTGAGAAGCTTTAGTTTGTATTTACTTTTTTTTTTTTATATATATATATACTACCTCCAGTCCACTTTACTCGCAACTATTTTCTTTTTGGCATGGTCCAATTTACTCGCAACTTTCTCATTTCTTTCCTTTTTTAGTAAAATTTTTTATGTAAAATTACCATTATACCCTTATTTTTTTAATAATTCAACTTAGGGCCTGTTCCGATGGACTGAACTCAGCTGAACTGAACTGAACTAAATTTATTAATTAGTGATTTTTAACTACGAATTAGTGATCTTTGATTATTTATTGATTATTTATTACTATACATATGTGTATATACAAATGTACATATTAATAATAATAATAATAATAATATATTATTATTATTATTATTATTAATTATTGATTATTATTATTATTTATTGATTATTATTATTATTATTATTTATTGATTATTATTATTAGTATTATTATTTCAATTATTATTGTTATTATTATTATTATTATTATTATTTATTGATTATTATTATTATTTATTACTTATTGATTATTATTATTATTATTGTTGTTGTTGTTGTTGTTGTTGTTGTTGTTGTTGTGGTTGTTGTCGTCGTTGTAATAAGATCTTAAAAGAATGAAATTTTGCTTTATATCATTAGCAATATCATTAGACGTAAATTAAGAGCTGAACTGAACTGAACTAAGCTGAACTGAACTAAACTGAACTGAATTTCAACGGAAGAGAACAAACCCTTAGTTATATTACTAACCTTATCTGATTAATAAACAAGACTGATTAATTAAATTAATCATTCCCACCAAAATTATACCCCAACCCTTCAAATTCATCAACTCCCCAACTGCCTGAATTGAATGCTCCTCATTCTATTCATCTGATGAATTGGTTGGAGTTCATTTATTCTGGATAATTCTCCAGAATAAATCCCTCCCACCTAAACCCTACTTCTTACTTTCTCTCTCTTCTCTCGCCGAATCGATTCCCCTCTCTCTCTCTCTGTATTCCTTGGTTGGTTTTCTCTCAATTCCTCTGTCAATGGCTTCCCCTAGTGACAAAAACCTAGATCTAACTTGCCATGAAACCCTTGAAACAAGTGCTTCCAGCCGCCGATCTGGTAGCGTTACCTACAAACCCCGTCGTGGAACGTGTGTCATGAAACCCATTCGTTGTGCTTCAGTCATTGCGAGGAGGCGGATCCGTGGTGCAAAACTTGCTGACTATGACAGCGATAAGGAGTCGCCTAAGCTGGTGTTCTCTAAGGCTGGTGCCCGTGATGAACCACCGTCTGTGGTGGTTCCTGCTGGTGAGGGTTCCGTGGTTGCTGCGGTGGTTTCTGCTGGGGCTTCTGGGTCTCCAGTGACTGAGGTGGAGGTTTCAGCCACCGGATCTGCTACAGGGGAGTCGACCCCAGTAGATCTGGAGGTTTCTGAGGTGGCCAAGCCACCGGAGTCCCATGAGCGTGACGATGGCCCTTCCTCTGGCGCAAAACGCATCAAATCTGGTCCTCCAGATGGCATGTCGAGGGAGGAAGTGATTGAGGCTTATTTGCAGATCTACTACCCTCAGTTCAACCCCCCTCGTAATTGAATGCGCAGCGTGCACTCTATAAACCCTAATTTATTTTTTTATGATTCTCTGTGTTTGTGCTTCAGATGTGCAATTAATTATTTACAAGATGATGTTGTGGGTTGTTTTTGATGATTGTGTGAGTTGTTAATTACGGATAATGACTGTGATTTGAATGACATGATTAGTTGATGCATGAATGTTGGAGTAACTGTATAGTAATTGTGTTAGCAGCTCTGTTTTGGGATGATGGTGGTTGATAGATGTTTGTATGTGTTTGTTAAAAGACTAGTGTTTTGGGACAAGTTTGTTGTTTGAACCCATTTGATTTATGTTATGGGATGGTGTTGTTTGGTAGCACTTGATTTAATGGTGTTTGCAGTAGTTTGAGTAGTTCATTTGCCAAAATGTGTTTGTTGAATTGGTGGAAATCACAGTTGTTTGGTTGTTTTTGGTTGTTGAGAATGAGTCCCCTGCTGTTTTTTTCAACCATCACCTACTTGCCATGGGAAATATCATTTGTGACCCTTGTCGTGTGCCTTTGCTGCATTGAGTCCCTTTTTGATCATGCACACCCATTTTGGTTTTCCATATGATGATGGGACTCATCTGATAGCTACTTGGGTGGTTTGGATGCTCCAAAAACCTTGTCAAAAAGGTTTATGTTGAGGTACCAACACTCACTAAAGCTTTGACTGAAATCACACCCTTCTGATGGAAATAATAGGCTCTAAAAATGAAACAGAAACAGAATAAAACATGTAACTTTTTGTGAATCAAAATATTTGTACTTGACTGATTACATGACTGCCTAACAAATAAACAAGTTGTATCTCCCAAAAGTACACATAACCTCCACATAATCTTACACAAAAAGTTGTTTGAATAGGAAAAGGTTATATGTGGCAGTCAATTATGAGTCCCCTAATAGTTGCCTTCCAAAAGTAAGACACAGTTATCAGTCTGCATCTACTTCCATGTGCCCTTCATCATCTCCTGTAATTGTGACTATGTCCAAAAAATGGACAACTTGACCTATTAGCTCCCTGTCTACTTCAAGTAGTTGAGGTAGTAGTCCTTGGCTGTCCAAGCTTCTCTTCTTCATGTGTGGGGGAGAGAAGTTATTACCCCCTTGCTTTTCCAGAATCTTAATAAGGCAGGATTGAAGTGTGATCCATGTGTACTTGTTTAGTGTAGGATCAAATTCTTGAAATGCTCTTGCCACTTCCTTGATTAAGTCATCTGGATTCCTTGGAAAAGATTAATATTGTAATGATTGAATGACACTAAACAACCCTAAATCTAAAACATTTGTTTCTTGTGACTGAGCTGGTTGGAATATGAATTGAATGTTGAATCCATATGCATGACAAGCTGCTTGAAATCCTTCATCCTTTGGTACCTGATGAGGCCTAGCATTATCCCATTGGATGATTATGTCCTTTGGTAACTATTGTGGCCATTTTTCATAGATTGTAGGGATAACATGTGTTAGCAGCATCTCCCTTATGCATTCTTTTGTGACACTTTGAATTGCCTTTGTCTCTAGAGTCCCTGCATCTCTGTTCTTGCTTTTCTTTTTGGCTCTTTCATACTTTACAAAAGGAAAAGGGCCATATTTTCCATCATGTATCATGTTGTTTTCAGCATCAAACAATGGTTTACCTATCATTCCCATAAACATTGCTTTGATTTTGAACCTCCTTGATTGTTGAGCCCTGTAAGGATCATCTTCTGTTGGAAGTAGGTAGAAGGTTCTTGTTTCTGGATTGATGTAGAACCATTTCTCATCTAAATGTATCCATTGCTGCATATCAGTAAATGTTGGGTCCCCAATTGCTGGAACATGATTTATTAGACTTAAAACCCATTTAATTCTTGCCACTTTGTGTTTCTCTGTCAATGCTGGATGATTTGTGCTTGTGTGTGTTCTCAACCTGCCTTGTTGCCTTAGCCTATGCAATGCTGTTTTGGGCATTTTTAGTGCACCAGCATATCCCCTTTCAGTTGTTCTTTTTTACAATGGTACAGATGTCAGAAACTCATCTGTGTATTGTTTTGCTTTGCGTCCTGTCCTGCCTAATTCTTTGGTATTAACATCAACAACGATACCTTCAGCTAGAGAATGTTTAATTACCTGAAACCATTTTGTTGTAGTAGATTTGTGCACTGAATGTTTTCTTGCCAAATTGGCTAAAAAGCCTCTTGGCAGTGAGTCCCCCTCCATGTGCAACATAATCTCCTCAACAATTGCTCTTTTCTGTTCTACTGTCATCGCTCTTGTCTGTCTGCAATTGTGTTGTAGCTCTTCTTGGTTTGCATCATCATCTGCATTATACCCATCAGCATCATTACCTTCATGATGTTGCTGTTGTTCATGGCCTGAATCAGATGATCTGACCCTTCATACTCTTCTTGGTTGAATTGTTGTTCGATCAATTCATCTTCCATGAGCTGGCCCTGTTGAATTAACTCATCCATAAGTTCGTGTATGAACTCTCCCACGAGTCCCTTCTCTTTTGAAAAAATTTTAGGAATGTTTTTTGGTGATGAAGTGGCGGCTGGTGGTTTTTGGACGATAGTCAACGGAGCCTATTATTGAAGCTGCATCTACTAACGTTGCTCTAGGATTTAGGATTAAACTAATCAAGTTTAGATGGCTTGTAATTTTTTAGGGCTGCCTGTATTTTGTACTTAATTAACTAATTTCTCTAATGATGATACTTGAATTATTCCTCCCCCGTCCCCAATTCTCTTAAAACTTGGCTTTTGAAAATGGAGAATTAGAAGGGAAGCCCTGGTTTTATATAGGGCCTTTTGTTTGAAATTAATGGAAAAATTTGAAAGTTGGGGGAATTTGGCTACCCATTTGAATTTTGGGGAAAATTTGGGAGTGAAAAAACCTTCCCAAAAAATTTCGCCCCTTATTCCTTAAGCTGCCAGGAAAAAAAAGGTGGGAATTTCCCACTTATTCCACAAAAGTACAACCCCTTACAAAAGTCAACAAAATGGGACCACAAGTATTCCCTCCAATTTTAACTCCTAATTACATACCCTTACTTTTTCTAAATCCCCTCTTAAAAGTTTTGCCTCGGCCTCCGCAAACCCCCTCAAAGTTGCGGGTAAAGTGGACCGGAGGTAGTATATATTTTAAGTTGTACATTTTATTATCCGAATCTACTAGTTCGATCTTGTGATAGGTGGACTTTTAGATTTAATGATCCTTTCCGTTGATTGGGAGATTATTAACCCATGCATGTATTTTACCTTTCAAAAAAAAAAAAAAAAACTAGAATGCGTGGTGCATTTAGGTATTTTTTTTTTTCTCATTTAGATAGATGATAAATTGATAATTGTTCATTTAATCATAAAATGAAAATAAAAAATTAAGGGTTCGTTTGGCATTGCTGTGGTATTCTGTTTTTTGGTTTTTTGTTGTATAAAAGTATATGATTTATGTCACATAATGAATAAAAAATTATTTAAACTTATTAAAATCATAATAATTTTAAAATTTAAACTGACAACAAAAAAGTGGAAACACCTTTTTCTTGTTTCATGTTTTTGGTTTTTAGTTTTCAAAAAGACAGGACTGAAAATAAAAAATAATGCCAAACAAACACTAATTAGATTAGTTGGGTCATCGTGTATTTGAAGTATATAAAAATGTCATCTACCCTCAAGGGTGGACTTGTATTATTCAATTTATTAACTTGTTTCATAAGTGGTCATATCAAATCATACTACATCTTCTTATTTGCTTCTATTTATTAATTTGTCCATTTTTTCTTGACTTGTGTTCATTTATTATGCTTACCAATACCTAACTTACAAAAGTTATATTTTTTGAGACGTTTAAAGAAGATGACGCGTGCATAGTGCAAAAGTCAAAATAGGTACTTCATAAATTAAAAAAATTAACAAAAGTTTTAAAAACCTTCAATTTCACAAAAGCACATACTATCAATATTTAGGGAAAAAAATATTATTATTAAAAAAAAGTCATATGACATCTACATTAATAATAATAATAATAAAGATTTGTAAATTACAAATTTAAAGAAAATAACATAACTTTTAATTTACAATCAAAATCATAACTATTTAAGTTGATGACAAAGCCTAAAGTCATATGAATCCAAATCACCTTTTCAATTATTAATAGAACCCTAAAAACACAATTATCATCCATAGTTGAGAATAAAAATCCCAAAATATAGGGACATACTTTCACAAACGGAGAAAACAATGCAAAACAAAGCAAACCAAAAAAATAACAAACAAGTGAATTATATCAAAGAAAAAGAGTCTAAAGTAGTCTAATTACCGAATAAATTAAACTATTTTCGGCCTAAATGGCCAAGGAAACTAAACTTTAAACCCAAAAGAGAGAGGAGAAAGAAGAGTAAAGAAACAAGAAGAGTGTTATAGACATCAAAATACACCGTACAAGTATAAGATAATAAGATTAATTGAACGTAAAACTAATACTCCCTCCGTCCCATAATATAGTTCATGTTTTCCTATTTTAGAGATCCAAATGTTGTTCTTGTTTTCATTTTTGGATAGTATGTAAATACCATTATATCCTCACATTTTTAAAACTTTATTCATTGTACCTCCTATCATCCTTTAATTTTACACATGCCTTGTACTACGTACTTTTTTCATTTTTTCTCTCTAATTTTTGTCTATAATTATACTTTTCACTTTTATTAATGTATTTTATCCACTTTTTCCTTCCATTCTTAACATCATGAAAAAGCACAAATAAGAAGTATATTATGGTACGGTGAAAGTAAGAATTCTTAGATAGTCACCATAGAGAGAATAAAAAAAATGAACCCATTTAAGTTTTTAATATGTGATATGAGAAATAGAAATAGTTAACGATTAAAAAGAAAGTACTCCGTAATAAGTATTTCATAACTATTTCAAAACTTTGATTTTAGAAAAGTAATGAAATAAAAAAGAACGGAGAAAGTATTTTTATTCTGAAAATTGTCTTATCGATAAATATTCAATCTATATCCATCATCCATTAACGTCAGCATTGACTAGACTGTTGCAACCTCCATTATCATTGGATAAAATTAGGGCCTGTTCCGATTGACTGAACTCAGCTGAACTGAACTGAACTGAACCGAGCTGAGCTGAACTGAACTAAACTGAACTTATTAATTAGTGATTTTTAACTACGGATTAGTGATCTTTGATTATTTATTGATTATTTATTGATATTTATTACTATACATTGTGTATATACAAATGTACATATTATTATTTTTACGAAAAATATACTATATAATTATACTTATAAAATGTATGGAAAATATATTATAAAATGTATGGAAAATATATTTAAAACTTGAAACCTCTAAACATTTTAAACACATATACTATTTGATTCAAAAATAAAACAGTATTAGGAAAAAAGAACACAAAACACTTACATGTATCTAACCCATTTAAACAAATTTTAAATAAAATAATATATATATAAAAAAAAAAAATAATAATAAAAAAAAATAAAAAAAAATAAAAAAAACCCAACAAAACACCCTAACCCACGATGCTCTAACCCCAAATAAAGAGAAAGAAAAACACTTTCTCCTTCCTCCTGCAGTCACCAGTTCGGCAGTGCCCCAAACAAACACAAAAAACCCAACGAAGCTGTCTCCTTCTGCCTGTAGTCCACCAGCGGCGGTGCCCAGCCGGTTGTTTTGATTTTTCGGCGGCCTGAAGGTGTCCAAGCTAAGGTTAGTATCAATACTCTGCCTAGTTTGTTTTAGATAGTTCTGTTTTGGATAGGTTAGTATCATTCCTCCTTTCTAATTGGAGATTTTTTTTTAATTTTTCTTTTTTAATCTTGAATCCTAGCTCTTATTTTATTTGGAGATTGCAACCTAAGCCAGATTTGAAAAACAGTTTGGTCATTGAAGCTTGAATCGACCTCTCTTATTTGTGTTGTTTAAGACATTGAATCGACCTCTCTTTACTGTTGTTGTTACAATTTTAGTATGAATTGAATTATGAATTGAATAGTTGTTGAATTAATTTCTAACTGCCTAGTTTTTTAATTGCAGTGTAGTTATTTTTTTAATATCATAAAATTAAATCTATGATTAATTGATTATAAGAAAGCACGTAGAAATCAATCAATATTTCTCCCAAAAAAAAAAAGAAAAAGAGAGTAATCCATCAGTAAGTTACTTTGGTTACTTTGTGGTGTAATGTTTGTTTTGTTACTTTGGTTGATGTTTAGCCATATCTTGTTTGCAATGAGTACCAAACGGGCATCATTCACTTTGGACATTGTGACCATACTTTTGGGAATCTTGCCGGATCATGTCACCCCGGCTGGGGGGAAAGTTGATTGGGATAATGTTGTAAATATTTTAAATCAAAGAACAGGAAAGACATTTTCAGCCGTTTCTGTTAAGAATTGGTTCTCGAATATGAAAGAAAAACACAAAGCTTGGAGAGAATTGAAGAGATGAACTGGTCTTGGATGGGGGCCGAATAATTGCCCTCTAGTTGATCTTGAATCAGAAAGATGGCTAGCCTTTTCTAAGGTACTTGTTGTGTATTTTTATCCATTTAAATTTCTATAATGTACACATATGTTTTTTTCCCCACTAATGCATCTCTTTGAAACGTAATCCTTTTTCAGAAATATAAAGCCAACGGAAGATCCCTTCTTAGGACTCCATTCGAGAATGAGCAAGAATGGAATAACATTTTCAAAGGTGGTTATGCAAGTGGTGATTTAAGTTTTACACCTGCTTCACTTGGGCATATAGAACGGGAAGATGTTGATGAAGTTGAAGATGAAGGAGCAGGTGACTCTGATGATGTTCCAGGAGATGAAACCCAAACCCCCAACATTTCCATCCAGCCTCCTGTTGCCTGAAGTGACCCAAAAAAACGTAAAAGCATTGACAGCCAGCCTTCTAGAATTTCTGGTAAAAAGTCTAGGGAAGAGGATATTGATGTGTGTCTTGATGTACTGAGACGATCTTCTTTGAGTCAATCTTATAAACCCAAAAATGCTTTTGATGAAGTTCTCAGTATCTTGGACTCCATGGGGATTATAGAACCATATGGGGAATCCTTTGCTGTAGATATTCTTGATAGCTTTCGCAAAACTCCCGGTGCTGTTGATATTTTCATCATTTTGCATTCTGATGAAGGGAGACTTCACTTCATCAGGAAGCATTGTAAGATTTATGATGAAACGTATAAGCCAGACACCACTTTCAGTTCATTAATATCTGAAGATGTCTTGATGTATGACAACTAGTATGTTAGGTTGGAATTTTGTGACTTTCTGCCGGCTTTTATGTTTGTGATCAAATTTTCAATGTGGATTTTAGTTACAACATATGTTGTTGTAATATGATCGGATGATTTCGGTTACATTGTTTCTATTATGTATGTTTTTATCAACTTTTGTGACCACTATGTATCAACTTTTATTTATGCTTTTTATTTTAAATTTCGTATAAAGTAATTTGCGTTAAATTTTTTGTTGGTTATGTAGAATGGATGATGAGTTGGTGCAAGAAAGTTTGACACGTATAACATTGTATGAGCTACGGAGATTGACGTCCCAAGTTGAACGGATACCTATGCATGTTGGTGGGGAAACTGGGAGCCAATGGATTCATAGGATGGTGACAGGCCATCATAATTTGTGTAAAGAACAACTTCGACTAAGTAGAGAAATATTTATAAGTCTTGCTAATGTCCTCAGAGCACAACAATTGTTGACAGATGGTTCTGGTAAACATATGCACATTGAAGAGCAACTTGGGATAGGTTTGTACATGCTTGCCAAACCTGCTTCCGTTCGTGATGCTGCTGAAAGATTTCAACATGGGGTATCTACTATTTCGAGGTATTTCCACAAAGTGTTAGAGGCATTGCAGATATTGTCAACTCAAATAATTCGACCTTATCAAAGTTTGAATGAAACACATCCTGAAATTCAAAACAACAACAAACTCTGGCCTTTCTTTAAGGTACACATTCTCATTAAATTTTCAAGATGATTAGTGTCTATGTAATAACCTTGTTCACTTTTGTGCTTAGGATTGTGTTGGTGCCATTGATGGTACCCTCATACATGCAGTTGTTGCCGATGCTGTGGGCAAGGCCCACAGAGATCGAAAAGGGGATAAATCATGGAATGTGATGGCAGTGTGTTCACATAACATGTTGTTTACTCACATCAACGTAGGCTACGAAGGCAGTGCACATGATAGCACCATTTGGAAGCGAAGTTTAGGAGAAGCAAGAATGGGATTCCCTCATCCACCGCCTGGTACAAACTAAATTTCATGAATAAAATGGGAAAATTTATTAGTTTCGTTAACTAACATTATCATTATTGCACAGGAAAATACTATGTAGTTGATTCAGCGTATCCTAATACACTCGGGTACTTAAGTCCCCATACAGGACGTGATTTGAGGTATCATTTGCCTGATTTCAAGAGATCAGGTCCTCCACAAGGAATGTTTGAGCATTTCAATTACCTACACTCGTCTTGTCGAAATGTAATTGAGCGGATTTTTGCGATTCTGAAAAATAGGCGGAAGGTTCTATAACCTAAATTGATGTCGCAAATGGAATTACGTTTTCAGTTGCAAATAATCGTTGCTTGTTGTACTCTACACAATTTTATTCGTTTACATGAACTAGGGATTCCAATCACGCACCAAGTTGAAGTCATGGAGCGAAGAGAAGATCATACTGTGTACGATCCTAACAGAAAAGCAGCTATGGATATTGTACGACAAGAAATAACTGATCAGATATGGGAGTCAGTTCAGAGGAATGCCGAGGTAATGGAGGAGTTTGGTGGACAAGAAGAAGACGAAGAACTAACTGACTATGAAAATTAGTTTAAGTTGTGTAGTACTCTAATTTTCTCAATGAGATTAACATTAGAAATATGTTTCAAAAAAATAGAACCATTTGAACAATGAATTGTATCAATATTATTATTGTTATTATTATTATTATTAATTATTGATAATTATTATTGTTATTTATTGATTATTATTATTAGTATTATTAATATTATTGTTATTATTATTATTATTATTTATTGATAATTATTATTATTATTTATTGATTATTATTATTAGTATTATTATTATTATTTCAATTATTATTTTTATTATTATTATTATTGTTAATATTATTATTATTATTATTATTATTATTATTTTTGTTGTTGTTGTCGTTGAATAAGAGCTTAAAAGAATGAAATTTGGCTTTATATCATTAGCAATATCATTAAACATAAATTAAGAGCTGAACTGAGCTGAGGCCCTTAGTCAACCTTTTCCCAACTCTCCCCCCCCACCCCAAAAAAAAATTAATAAATCAAATCGTATTCCCTCCTCAAATTTCACACTCAATTCTCAAAAATTATTCACAACGGTTCAACGCTCCCTCTCTTTTCAATTCATCTTCATCATCTTCTTCTTCTTATTGAATCAATCGAAACAGGGGAGGAGAGAGAAAATCAAACAATGTCAAAATCATCGGAAGTATACATCGGATCAATTGATCAAGGAACAACTAGCACTCGATTCATCATCTATGATGGATCTGCAACAGCAATTGGATCTCATCAGATTGAATTCACCCAGTTTTACCCAGTTGCAGGGTATAATTTCTTCATTTATTTTTTTATAATTGCATATCAAATGTTTGTGAAAATGCGTCTGAGAATTTTCGTGTTTTTTTTTGAAAATAATTGGTGGGATTTTCTGGGTTTTTGGTGCTGATTGTGTTTTTGTTTCTGGGTATTTGAAAAAATAGGTGGGTGGAACATGATCCAATGGAGATATTGGAAAGCGTGAGGATTTGTATTGCGAAAGCTTTGGATAAGGCAACTGCTGAAGGGCATAATGTTGATAGTGGGTTGAAAGCTATTGGGATCACCAATCAGAGGGAGACAACTGTTGTTTGGAGCAAATCAACAGGGCTTCCTCTTTATAATGCCATTGTTTGGATGGATGTTCGTACTAGTTCCATTTGCAGGTTCTTATAAAAACTCTCTCTTTTTTCAATTTATAGACTTTATGTTTTAGATTTTTTTTTTTTTTTTTTTTTTTTTTTTTTTTGGGTTATTAATGGCTGACAATGGTGTATGAAATTTTGCTTATTTTGTTGGTTCTTGTGTGATTTATGACGTAATTGTTGTGGCTATCATGTCATTTTTTTGATTGCATCACTCTTGTTATTATTCAGCTCTGCTTCTTTGCAATTGTTATGTTTATCTTACTTAAATTATGTATTCCATATCATTTTAGAGATGAATATATGGTGAATATGGCTGACTACCATGATTGGAAGTCAAGAATTTGTAAATGGTGATGGAATTGGGGAGTTGTTGGTGGAATTGGGATATTTAAACTTACTTCTAAATGTTTTTGCAAAAAGTAAAGATGATTGATTAAAGGCTTATTGAAATCTTGATAGAAAGAAATCTCTTTGATGAATTTAGTGTCGTTGTTTAGGCTGCTTTCTTTAAAGAGATTTGGAGATAGATATCATTCATATTAATTAGAATTACTCTTAAGTTTCAAGGTCATCAAGGTAATTTGAAAACCTGCACATTAAGAAGGTGATTAACTGATTATGGGCATTATGGCAAGTACATGAAGGATTATGGGAATACTTCTGTTAAGTGGTAGCTAAAAATTTGGGTTTGTTACACAATCTGGGCAGCATTTGCTGATGTTGGGTCTTGGGCTTACCTCTAGAACACAAAGGAGAAAGAAAGTATGTGTTCTGTTGATTAAGGGTCTGTATTAAATTGACTATGTCTAACTTTGTCACTTTTATATCTAACTGCCCGTGCTCTCTTCCGGACTACTTCTACGCTTTCTATCTGGGGTAAGGAGGTAGGTGGTGAAGGGAATATGGACAAAAGTATGTGTATAGGAAGGAGGGATTGTAAGATAGTGCTATGGAAATTTTATTCAAGTATAGGTTCATCATATGCCCAGAGAAAAGCTCGGATATGATTTGCTAATTTATCATTTTCATCCTTCCTTGTAAATTGATTTTTTCCAATGTTATCCTTTTGTATCCTTTCCATGAGACTCTAGTTAGCAATGTTTGTTCTTTTATTTGCACACAAGTGATGGATGTAAAGGAGGAGCAAGGAGAGGAAGGGCGGGAGAAAATTGATTGGGGTGGGGTTGGATAATGTTATGCTGCTAGTGCTGGGTGTCCATTTTGGGGTTTGTTGATTGCAGATGTTTGAGGTATTTTTTTAATTTCTCTCCTCCAAATTCCAAAATCAAGGTGATGGAGTCTTACATCTTAATATCCAAATAAGGATGAACTTAGCTTGTGAACTTGATCAATGTGTATTGATCTTTGTTTGCTTGATCAATTTATGGAGGAATTTAGTCAATAGTTATAATTTTACGGTATCTATGATTCTATTTGCCATCTGTTGGATTGAATAATGCTTATTTTAATGACTGCAATTCAGATTGTTTGTCACTGTTTGATTTTTTTTCTTTTCCGTTTCTGGTTAGTGCTATTCTGACAAATTGGGTGTACTGTAATGTAGGATATTGGAGCAGAATTTGTCAGGTGGGCGCAACCATTTTGAACCATCATGTGGTTTGCCTATTAGTACTTATTTCAGTGCTACAAAGCTATTATGGTTGCTGGAGAATGTGGAAGCGGTTAGAGATGCTGTGAAAAGCGGTGATGCTCTTTTTGGAACAGTGGACTCTTGGTTGATTTGGAATTTAACTGGAGGGGTGAAGAATGGAGTGCATGTGACTGATGTATCAAATGCATCACGAACTATGCTCATGAATCTTAAGACTCTAAACTGGGATGAGGAGACATTGAAGGCCCTTGAAATCCCCCTTGAAATTTTGCCAAAAATTGTTAGTAATTCTGAGATAATTGGAAAGATTGAGACTGGCTGGCCTATCCCAGGTGTCCCTATCGCGGGATGTTTGGGTGACCAGCATGCTGCTATGCTAGGGCAGGCCTGTGGAAGAGGGGAGGCAAAAAGCACTTATGGAACTGGTGCTTTTATACTTCTCAACACTGGTGCAGAGATTGTTCATTCAGAGCATGGCCTATTAACCACAATGGCTTTCAAACTTGGGCCTTCAGCACCAACAAACTACGCTTTAGAAGGCTCTATTGCTATTGCAGGAGCTGCTGTTCAGTGGCTTAGAGACGGTCTTGGTATTATAAAAAATTCAAGTGAGATTGAAGAGTTGGCTTCCAAAGTTGATTCAACAGGTGGTGTATATTTTGTCCCAGCATTCAATGGACTGTTTGCTCCATGGTGGCGTGATGATGCACGTGGTGTATGTGTTGGAATGACAAGATTTACTAATAAGTCACACATTTGCCGGGCTGTACTTGAGAGTATGTGTTTTCAGGTCAAGGATGTTTTGGATTCCATGCACAAGGATGCAGGGGAAAAAGGTGAGGTCAAGAATGAGAAGGGTGAATTTTTGCTAAGAGTGGATGGGGGTGCTACTGTGAACAACCTTTTGATGCAACTTCAGGTTCTTTTCTACTGCTTGTAATTTCAGAAATCTTCACTTCTTATTTCAAAATCTGTTTTGGTCAAGTCATCAGTCGTACTTCCTGATTAAAATTTGCATCAAGTAGTGACATTTCTTTTGAATATAAATAACTAAAGAAGGATAGATATTTGATTATATAAATAAAGGATTTATTTTTTTTTGTTAAAATGCTTATGTCTTAAGGCTTTTATTATAAGAGCTCTTCTAAACTTACTGATTACATGGAAAAGAATTAAACCGAACTCTACAAGGTTGGTTCTTGCTTGTTTAAGGGTAACTCATAGTTTTCGATGACAAAGCTGTGAGAGTCGCTTTATTATTAGAGTGTTGGTATTAGACTTGATATAGTAGCTACTACTAATACTTTTTTTTTTATTTTTTTTATTATGTAGCTTTGATTATTATGCTGCACTGTCGTACGATGGTCGTGTCTTTCACTAATAGTTACACTACTTTATGCTAGGCTGATTTACTTGGTAGCCCAGTGCTACGACCTGAAAATATCGAGACAACAGCCCTGGGAGCAGCATATGCAGCAGGATTAGCTGTCGGTGTGTGGAAACAAGATCAAATTTTTTCGACTGAAGACAAAGCTAAGACAGCACGCATCTTCCGTCCAACATTGGAGGAGGGATTGAGGAAAAAGAAGGTGGATTCCTGGTGCAAAGCTGTAGAAAGGACTTTTGACCTGGCTGATCTTTCTCTGTGATCTGCGGTTTGTCCTTCCTATGTCCTTCACTTACAGCGCTTATCATCCAGTGGTTATAAATCTTTACATTCTTCAATAATATATGCATTAGTTAGTTTCAAATGTTTGATAAAAAAACCAAATAAATTAATTGTAGATTTTACTTCATAGTTATTCCATACATGATTCTTCAACCAAACTAAAATTGATCTGTATAGTTGGCAACATTCTTACTCCACATTTACAGAATGCAATATGGATGTTAGTATTCGTAATTTATAGATTCTGACAAGATTATTCTTGATACAAGTTTCTCGTTCTGAATTTTATGTATATCAGCTGCACATGACTAGTTCTTTTATCATATATTTGTAATCACTTCTCAGCAATGGCCAAACAAGGCTCGGTCTTGGTCCAGTGCTGGGAGCTCTAATGCTTTTATAACTTAATTACCAGACATTACTGTGAAATTCATTAGAGCATTTCTGCATACTGGGCATCAAAAAAATTTATAAAATTTACGAGGTTTGTGTAGTTATACTAATATTATATGCTGCTTAAGATACATATTACAATGGTATTGTGGTTACGATGGTCTTTGAGGATGATTTGGGATGCGTTGTATGCAAAGTATGTATGTCAGTCTGACTGATGATGTGCAGGACTGCAGTCGTTGCTACAATCATTTCAGATTTTTAGACGTTACATTGGTCTGATGGAAAAATATACA